CAGTGCTCAGATAGAGATTAATTCAGCAAAATGTTGTGAGTTCTGTATTATACAAATCAGAGTATAACAAATTTATACATGCAAAGGGCAAAAAAAATCCTCAGCTTTCTCTGTTATATCAAAGGACTAAACTACATTTACAGCAGTAGTAGGAGACGTTGATCAAGTTAGACAAAATTTCAATCACTGAAGCAGGAAGCAACAGCCCTTTTTAGAAACAGGAATGCTATATGTCCTTACGTATCTGCAACTGTGCATACTGTAAAGGAAAAACAACTTTTTGTGAAAATATAGAAGTATACTGGTATTACCTGTGTATTTCTTATGACTGCAGTTTGGATTTGAAGTTTTTGGGTTTGTTTCGAAAGCAGACTTCAAGGTATCAAAACTTGATATAAATCACAGTGGGAACTCTACATCACGCACAAAGATGCAATAAAAAGAGTTAATGACACCTTGGGTTGGGTTCTCTCTAATTTGTGTCAAGTGATAAATTAAAGAGACTTTTTTTGAGGTAATTACATCAGTACTATTAACTTCATTAAGTAAACTTCTCTTCCCTTGCGCCCCCCTCCCTGGGATTAAATTCAAACAAGATTGCTCCCCATATTCCCAAACCACTGGCCTTTTTCACTTCTATCAAAACTCGATATAAATTACAGTGGGAACTCTACAATACATCACACACAAAGATGCAATAAAAAGAGTTAATGACACCTTGGGTTGGGTTCTCTCTAATTTGTGTCAAGTGATAAATTAAAGAGACTTTTTTTGAGGTAATTACATCAGTACTATTAACTTCATTAAGTAAACTTCTCTTCCCTTGCGCCCCCCTCCCTGGGATTAAATTCAAACAAGATTGCTCCCCATATTCCCAAACCACTGGCCTTTTTCACTTCTAATTTTTATTTCTTTTATTTACACAGAATAGACAGAATGGACACTCTGCCCTGAAACAATATACAGTGGACAGGCTTAAAAACCCTTAGTTCAATCTAGGAGTAGCAAACTCTGAAGCCTTTCTTCTTTAGTCTCATTGGGCTGCACCTTTTTGAAACTAAGCTTTAAATGAGCAGAGAAGTTCTGCAACACCTTAAAAGTGCTAAATGAGGAGTTAGTAGCCATCCTCTCTGATGGCTACTAGCACCAAGAGAAATTAAACTGAAAGTCGTAAAATACAAATTCATTTTATTATACAATTAATTAATTGTAAATGAACAACCGGAAGACAAGCATCTGAAGATAATACAGTTCTGAAATCCAATGGCATTGTCTCCCTGTATATCATTCTGGACTTTAACTTCTTTCACTGACACCTCAAACTGCACATAATGCCACAGCTAAATTTTTGAATAAGGAACAAAAAGAAAACCAAACAAAACCCCAGAAGTCACAAAACCACACCACACTCAGAGGAAAAATCCTCAAGCTGCACCAGGCGAGTTTTAGATTAGATATGAGGAAAAATCTCTTCCCAGAAGAGGCTGTGAGGCACTGGAACAAGTTGCCCAGGGAAGTAGTGTCGCCATCCCTGGAGGTATTTTAAAGACATTTAGACGTGGTGCTTAGGGACATGATTTAGTGGTGACTTGGTATTGCTAGGCTAATGGTTGGACTCAATGATCTGAAAGGTCTCTTCCAACCAAAACAATTCTATGATTATACGTAAGCATCCCCTCACTTGACTTTCCACACAGTATCACACATTAGGTTTGTCTGCGGACAGAGCAGTGACGTACACAGCTAAATTTTTAAATAAGGAACAAAAAGAAAACCAAACAAAACCCCAGAAGTCACAAAACCACACCACACTCAGAGGAAAAATCCTCAAGCTGCACCAGGCGAGTTTTAGATTAGATATGAGGAAAAATCTCTTCCCAGAAGAGGCTGTGAGGCACTGGAACAAGTTGCCCAGGGAAGTAGTGTCGCCATCCCTGGAGGTATTTTAAAGACATTTAGACGTGGTGCTTAGGGACATGATTTAGTGGTGACTTGGTATTGCTAGGCTAATGGTTGGACTCAATGATCTGAAAGGTCTCTTCCAACCAAAACAATTCTATGATTATTATTTTAGACTTCTATGAGCTACGAAGTAGCAGAGTTTGTGCCATTTATAGGACTGAGGCTCAATCCACAAAAACAAAGGTGTCACAAACATTTTCTGCTTAATCTATCAGAACCCACATAAGCAAATTACACTTTCACAATATATCAAGAAGCATTGAACTGTAATCCTGAAGAGCAAATTTCTAAAGTAAGCAAAAAGAATTAATTTAAAACAAGATTTTAAAACTGTTTTAAGCAAGAACTCCACAATACATATATATACACACACACAATAAACATGACCAATAAATACAAAACACCACAAACCCAGTAAGGCACAAGTTCTAACTCTGTATCTCAGCCAAAAATACTGTTCCTGCTCCCTAGTTCTTACCCCTTAACTCTGCCAGAAATCTGTTCCATTCCATTACCAGAACTTTCCACGAGACACATTTCCAACAGATAGGCAAGTACCACTGACTGCACAAATTTTGCAAACGCTCAGTGAAACTCGGCAAAACGAGCAGAGATAAAGGCACGGACATTTACAAATGAGATAGCGAAACTGAAGTGGCTATAGGGAAAAATCTGAAATGACAACCACAAGCATGAGCAGTTATTTTCTAAGAGAAGTTTAAAAAATCCAGTTCTATAGTCTTACAAAAAGGCAAAGAAAATATAAAACTGCTTAATAAATGTATATACCATAGTGGCCGAAAACCAACAGGAAGATCACTTAGGAGGAAAAGAGAACACACACTATCTAATACAGGTCTGGAAATCATTAGGCTTTGACCTATCAGAGAAATTAGGCTTTGAATCAGCCCTGCAGTACTAGTAGGAGTAAACAAACTCCCCAAACACACACACACAGAACTTCCTAATTTTGAAACAGAGCTACACCAGCTTTTGAAATAATAACATAAGAAATCTTTTCCCTTACATGAAAACCATTTAGTATGCCAATTTGTTGAAACAAATCAAACTATCACATTTGACATAATTCACATGGAATTCTCTCATTATTCACATTTATAAAAGACGTATATTTGGCTATCTAGTAGCTTATTTTGTGCACTGCTTGGAGACTCCAGCTGCTAATACTGCTCATTTGTGGCTTCTCAAGTAAGAGGCCAGAAGATCTGAAAGTATCTTATACCAAGATATCAGGATACTGTTCTTCAGCAGGTATAACTTCCAAGTTTTCCAGTACTAGTACAGCTAACCAGGCAAGAAAATTTGGCTTCCATATGGATTTTGTCTAAAGAATTTTGATACAGAATACAGGAACTGGAAATTGATATGCAGGAGAAGAAAAAAAACCAACCAAACCAATCCAATTTTGAGTATTTTTATACTTTATGTGAAATCAAACTATTTTTATATTGGTCTATATCAGTAAACAAAACCCACTCTGTACATACTACCCATCTCAGCAGATGCAGAGGAATTGGATGTAGACTTTTTCTCTCTTGCAGCTGGACTATTCTGAATGTTTAATGTTTACTATCATTAAATGTGTACTGCATTCTTTTGTTTGTCTGTTTACCTTTTCTTTTTTCAATATATCCATTATTTGGTACACAGTGTAGTAGCTTCTTCATGAATATGTACTAGAGAAAATTGTCTGAATATTCTATTTGCACTCCTCCAAAGTTAGAAATGTCAAAAAAAAAAAAAAAAAAAGATTCTGGATGAGACACACATTATCTGCCTCTTTTACAAAACCTTTACTGGCAGTCAGGGAAAATAAGAACTCCCAGCCCAGGCAAATGAGATGATGAGAGTGGAATTTTAAAACGGCTAGGTGGAGAGGCTGTACATTTCAACATGTGCATATACCTAAAGGACAAACACCAAATAACTTCAAAGGGCAGTAATCCCCCAGAAACACATTGCTTCAAGTGTCTTATTGCCATTGCAAAATGAAAATTGTATTTTATAATAATGGCTTATACCTGTAAAGTCTTTAGGTATTAATGCAGGTACATCAATGAGAGCTAGTTTAAGGCTTCATTTTCATCAAGTGATGTGAGGTCATCAGAAAACAAATTAAAATAGAATAAAAATGCATTTACAATTGTTACTGTGACATTCCAAGTGGAAGATGTTCCCACATTACTGCATAACCATTACACATACTACTAAAATCTAGTATTAGATATATTTATTACATTGAGGTTTTGCTTTAAGAGACCTTAAAGGGCAATTTTTCTCCCCATCCAACTATAAAGCTATAAATATTTCAAACCACATAATGCTCTTTTCCCCCTTAAAACTGCAGGTCTGTTTGGCAACTCTGTTAAATTCTGTTTCAGATAAATTTTTAAATCATTACAGTAATAAAAATTTATCATCTTTTGAATAAAATGCAGTTTTGTTTGTATATTTCCAGCCAACTTTCTAAGTTGCTATTCAGACCGCAACCTTCTAAAGCAGAAAAGTAACCTCCACATGTGCCTAGCACAGCAAAAACCTAATCAGGTACTTGTGAATGAAAAAAAAAATAAAACAACCAAAACCAAAAAAAATTCCACAAAAAGTTTTCCCTCATTGGATATGTCCAATTTTGTCCCTTTTTCCATCTCACAGAAAATGAGCGCATATAGGCCATTAGAACAACTGACAAATGGACTGAAATTTCCTTTGAAGTTATTCTTTCTTTTCACAAGTAATAGACTCTACAATATAAAATAATCTAAAGAGGAAGTAATCTTACAGTTTTCATGATTATTTCACTGAAATTTTGTTGGTACTTTACACCAAAATTACATAGGATTACTGAATGGCAACAATTAAACAAGAACATATTTTGCGATTATTGAGATTTAGTCAACCTAAAACTTTAAAAATCACAAGTTAGTCTCCCACTAATAATATTCTATGTATAGTATAAAGGAAGTAAAAAAAGGGAATTTTTAAAAAAAGCAAATCACTACAACTCAGTAACTTACCCTCAAGGCTTCAATTACAAGATCCCGTGCCTCTAGTTCTCCTTCCATGACACTCAAAAGCATTCGCAGTTCTGGCTTGCTCAAGTTATCCACATCAAATTCTCTTTTCTGTAAGGAAAAAAAGAAAAATTGATGAACACACCAACTAAGTGACTGCAATAGCTGCTATAGATCTGACACAGACACAGCAGCATCCTCAAATATCTTGAAGGTTCCTCAAATATCTGTAACTGTCAAAAGTTGAGGTGGCTTGATTTGTAGTATATAAAGTCAAAACTAATAGCAAATAGTCCAGTTCTTTTTATTCAAAGTGAAGAAATTAAAAGCTCTCCAGCACAACGCCGTGTCAAATCCTGTACTATTGGAAGGAATCGACCCTGCAAAGCCTTGTGAATTATAAAAGTGAAATAGTAAAGAAACAAACTTTGTGAATAACAGTTCCCATATGCAGCCTCACAGATACGGAAACAATTCAGCAGACCTGAAATAGGACAGCAGGGGATGGCAGCAAGAGAGGGCGAAAGAACCTAAAACACAGTGCACCTACACCAGGGTAACCCTGTGCCTCACTTGCCAAAAACCACCAAGTCATCACAGGGGTGAGTGTGAAGTTTTCAAGTACAACTTGTGAAAAGACATAAAATCTTATCTCTATGCTTGATTTACAGTCCCTTTTGTTTAGCTGGAGGGTACAGTTTAGGTTTAAGAGGCACTGACAAACAACAGTTCATAGCAACAATGACTTCTCACTCCAAATTACCAACATCAGTGTAAGTCCGAGTTTCACCCCTAGCATGACAGGAGGAGTTTATTCTGACAAATAAGATCAATGAGCATGTGCATAAACACACTGTGCTGGGAAAATCAGTATGGCTTCTGTAAAACCAAATCCACCTCATGAATTGCTACTACTCTGTAACAATGTCAGTAGACAAATGGGTGAAGGGGATCCACTGAACACTAATACATTTTGATTTTCAAAAAGCTTTGGACAAGATTCTACCCCACACATTATTACAGAAACTCCTATCCAACAGTACTGGATGAAGGATAGGAAGCAAGCACTGCAGGTAACAACCACTTTTCAAGATAGAGACAGGAGTGGGGCACCTCTGGGACCAGCTTTATTCAACTTCTTCAGCAATAACCTGAAAAAAGGATAGAGAAGCAGCAGGGACATCTACTTCACGTGGGAGCTGGCACAACTTTTCACTTACATGGTTAACATTCTTACTTTGTCACTACATAAAACCCTGGTAAACATACATCTCAAGTACTGCATCAAGTCCTTCATCCAAGGTGTAGAACTGGCAAACTAAACCCATGAAGATAGAAGGATTAATTACTATATGAGGAAAGACTATGAGGCTGGAAGTCTTGATTTGGGAGGTGGGGCGAGGGGAAGGTTATGAATATTTACAAAGTCACAAAGGCAGTAGGCAAGATTAACATAAAACTCTTGTTCATCGATACCCACAATGCTAGTACAAATAGACACTTAGTGAAATTAAAGGGGGATCATTTTAAGGGAGAGGAAAAAAAAAGTTATTTGATGTGCTAGATTCAGCTGACTAGCTTGATTTCCAATATGCTACACTAGAGTCCTTGCTATGATGTAGATGTGTCTCCTAACAAAGCTCTGAGATGCAGACACTTGCCTATCTTCAGTATAAAGTAATTAGTTGCCAAATCAGCTGAACTGTGGATCTGGATATACTGTCTATTCTCTAAGAGCTCAGCTACCCAGGAGCTTAACTTTACTGAAGAAAAGCCCAATAAAAAAAACAAGTAGCATTTCTGCTTTCTCAAGGCAAGAGGAAGGCAAAACAGTTGTTCTTCCCTCAGGCTAGAAGACCACAGATCAAAACTACCCAAAAGCTGCAACTGTATTAGATTTACTCTGTGTTCCATTTTTACTTTGCAGTTAAAGTGCAGAGGTGCACAAATGGCTAGTGAGAGCTGTATGCCAGAACTTTAGCTATTTGCATCCAGCGTACACTGGACTGAGTTTCTTCATTTATGCGAATGAACAAATTGGGTCAACAAGAGAAGCAATGATTTCTATTAAGGATACCTGCTTCAGGGACAGGGCCATCCACTCTGATCAATACCTCTAGACTGAACAATAGTTATCCTCTATTTTTGCTGCCTGGGTCAGCTACTCCTCCAATCCAAAAGATACCTCTTACCCTCCTTGACAATGAATCAAGAAAAATAACCAGTTTCTCTGAGGGCTTTTTCCCAATGTATGCTGCAGCAGACTCTCACAGTGCTCCTGATAATTCTGTACAGTGCTCACCAATCTAAGGACATGTATAAAGTTAAAAGTCACTAAATATCTATAGTTCCTCATGTAATCTAGTGTCTGTAGACTGGATTTTACATTATAGGCTGCAACAGATTTCACTCCCAGCACCTTATAACCACGAAATTGAATTAGGTCAGATACCAGGACTCACCCTCCTCCTTCTGTGAACCACTTTGTAATAGCTAATAGATCAAGGACAGCAATTGATTTATTTGTATAACTTCCCTTATAATACAGAAAAACGGTCTCTGTTTTCAGATGGAAAATTAATGCAAAGATTTTTTTTTTCAAACATAGAAAGCAAGTAGTAAAAACCACAATATTCAGTAACAGCCTTTTAAGTCTCCATTCAGTGGTTTAATCACTACATCTTCTCCCTTTTCTAACATATGCTTGTTGTCTGACAAAAAAGGCACCCGAGATTTCTGATACTGGGACTAAGTTAAGAGGGGCATCCATGAAAATACAGTGCAAGAAATGTGATCCTACTCTTTTCTCCAAGGCAGCAAAGTCAGCTTGTCAGGAGTTATAACAGGGCAGCTCTCTGTCAGAAGACTGTGCATCACACATGAAAGTTTTAACTTCTGCAGTCTGCCATGAGGCATAAGCAAAAACACTCTTACGAGGCATCCTTCAACATGTGTGATGCAGCAATGAGCTTTCTGAACTAAGCACCTGATCAGTCAATTAAAGTAAATTTTGCTCACGTACACACCCTGAATTAGGGCTTATGAAAAGACAGCAATAACAAACAATGAAAAGTGCTCTCTGGTATTTTATAGATATAAATAAACACACAAAAAATGGTAATAGAAAGACATACCAAGAAGATAGACAACTTAATTCTTATATTTTTAATTTAGAAAACTTGAAGTAAGAACTAGCAAAACTGCTTCATATATGAACAGTCCTAGCATCATCAGATGAAAACCACCATGGCTCCAAAAGCAGCCAATAATGGATGCCTGGAAATCAGGACCGGAGCAAGAAAGCACATAATAATACTTCCCAGAAATACTCTCCTAGCCTCCAGCAATTTTCAGTTTATGTACCTTCTGAGCCAGAAACCATGATTTTCCACATAGTAGCCCTTGGCTGACATACCTGTTGTGAATTTGCCCCATTGCTTTTCTAATCTTTATGTAAGTTTAGCATTCACAACATCCCACAGCACAGCTACAAATTTTATGAAGAACCTTTTGCTGTCAGTCTGTTATCAGCTGCTTTTGTTTGATGCCTTCTGATTTATTAAGCACAGAAAACAATCTATGATTACCCATACTCTCCATGCTACACATTCATATCAGAGAACTCTTCACATAGAAAAAACAAAATTTCCCCAAACTGATGTCCAAAATCAAAGAGAAAAGATATACAAATAGATAAAGAGAAATTCAGAATTTAAGAGGTTTTTAGGATGAATGGGAAAACCATCATCTTTTAAGTCTTGTTTATGATTAATTTTATGCCCACTGAGGCTTATCTTATAACTTTACCCAACAAATTCTGAAACTGGAAGGATTACTTTTTTCCAGTACTTTAAAGACATGGTTGGACTTTATGATCTTAAAGGTCTCTTCCAACCTAAAGGATTCTATGATTCTATGACATCTTAGCTTTGTTCACTATGGATAAGCAACCTCGAATCTCCTCACACAGTGTAAGAGCGTGCAGGGCAGTTGCTAAAGAAGCTATGACACCTTCACCCCATGCATATCTCTGAATCAGCACTTATGGACCTACGGTGTAGCTTACCCTAACTGGACCAAAATACATAGCTAAAAGATTGAATGTGTTTTAAAGCTGTAAAAATATCTTTTGAGTACATAAAGCCACAATGAAATAAAACTATCCTTCCTCTTAAACACTCCCTGCTATCTTCTGGGGATCAAGATGTCAGTCATGTCAGGCTTACCTGAAGTTCCTAGTCAGCTGCAGCACTGTTTGCCAAAATCATTGAGAAAACCATTGTTCAGATCTAGAAAAGTAATCTTCCTAACATCTTCCAGTGGAGCAGTAAGTCTTAGATCTCCAGAAAATAGACTGCATTAGTAGCTCTTGGCTTACGTGTCATCTGGGGTTCAGCTACAATACCTCTGGTAGAGTGCCAAGCTGTAACAATTTAACCAACAATTTAGCAACTGCGTAACCGAGCCATCCATTATATCAGTTTTATAACAGAGATACATGAATATACTGCCCCAGGGTGACGTTTGGTATGTACAAGCAAAACACAAGAGAAATTTTTTCTCTGACTCTTTCAGATTTTAAAACGTCTGGTTTATTTGATTTATAAGAATGAAGTACCTGAAAAAGACTACAACTTCCTCTATGTCTGTAAAACTCCAGAGGTTATTTTTCAGATCAGTTTTGTAAGGGGCGTGTGCTGCCTGGCAGCAAGTTCGCTGACAACAGAGCAAACAGCTAATTAGCAAAAGTACATTCAGCTACCTGTGCCTGCATCACAAAAAGAATACAGGTGAAATCATAACCTGCACTGCTGAAGATTAAAAGAAGCTCTACCACAAACTGAAAACAAGACAAAAGCATCTCTTCTGCACAAGAGGAGGACAATTTAGGACAACAGTGATCAAACTGGGCAGGTACTTTCCCACCTCCATCATCTTCGGAAAAGATGGAAAGAGGATGAAGTTGGAAGGTCACTAAGAGGCACAGGAACAGCAGGGACTCTCTCCTACAGGCATAGCTATTTAGAGCAGCGATGGTAAAAATTAGGATTAAATTTATCCTACCATCCTCCCTCCAGATGAAGGGAAATAATCTTGTGAAGGACTGGCATTGCCCATAGTTTGGTTTTGCTAGCCCAGTTAATCACACTGACAACTTTGGGAACTAAGAGTAGTGTTCACTGTGCTCCTACAGCAGCTGTAAAAAACTCTGCTGCCTTCAGCAGAAGTCTGAATAAGTGAAGTATGAAAAACCACAGCTTTGTACTTTCCCTAAGCAGAATAGAGACAAAAAAACAAGTTAGCTGTGGATTAATCAGAAATGACTATGGAAAACAAGCTCCTTCCTGCAGCTACACAACCTTTTAAAGATGTAGCTGGGTAATAAACTAGGACTTGGGAAAGAAACCTGTAGAGCATAATTCAGGACTGAAGTGGGAAGACAGGCAAGAGAAGTATAAAAATAGTGACAACACATACAAAAAAGCTAACCAAAAAAAGATAAAAAAGAGAGTCCTTTTAGATGGTAAAGATGCTTACCTACATTTGTTACATATTTTGTATTCAGGTACATTAAATAGACACAAGAAGCCTCTTGAGAATTAACAAGGCAAACTTCCAAGATGATGTTCTAAGACAAATGGTTGGCTATTACTTTTTAGGTTATACAAAATAAACTTTTAATATCACGATGGCCTCGCATATGTCAGACCCATGAAACAAGGGCACCAGAGAGACAACCCCAATTCATACAGTTTTCAACACCAAGTATGTCCCCCAGGTACAACTCATCCAAGCAAGCACAAAGATCTGTTTTGACTAATTCTATTTAGTTGCCTATATAGAAGTATCTATGTCCAGGGGATCAGAGATAGATATGATTTAGGACTTAGGAGAATCTTCCAGGCCAGCTGGGATACCTGAGAGCATCACATATGGTCCACTAAAGGAAGTCCTCACGATAGGACAAAGACATCTAAAGGTAGATATGAGCTATGTAAGCTCTGTGCATAACAAGCTTTATTTCCAACAAACAACTGATTACCTCAGTCAAAACAGCCAAGAAAGCTGTTCAGCTAACCAGTCACTAGAACTGTTGGTTCATGGCTCCGCTGCCTGCGTTAGTCAGATTTCCACTCACTGTAATAGGATAGTAAAAACTGTGCACACATGTAGCCACCTAAATTCAAGTGTTTTGAACCACATCCATACCTCCAAGAGCCAGCTCACTCAAAAACAGAGAAGCTCACAGACCTGTTTCTAAAACAAGTTATTCCTTCTAACCACTTACTTCACTCTACCAACCATAAAAGGAAGTTTCAAGACCTAGCTCAACATAAACATGGGTATGTGGTCAAATGAATCCTAACCCTCTTCTAATAAATAAAACTCTGCCAACAGGGAGAGTATTAAAAGAAGTGGTTATAATATCTATACAGTATTCATGAACACTTCAGGGAAAACCACAATTTATTGCTTTGGCTATGGAGGGCTTGTTCTTTAGTCTAAAACCAAGGTGAAACTCTGTGACCCCATGCTTCTCTAGAAATTATCTGATGCAAAGATACATGTCCATTTCCCACTCCATCCAAGATTAATTTAAGAAGTAAAATGTGATGTATAGGCATGTTCTCGGCAACAGAAATAAATACGAAAGCAGAGAAATATATTTCAAGGAAAAACAATGCTGCAAAACTCACTCAATTCAAGACCAGATTCTTGCTGAAGAGAATATCATCTGATGTTAGCATCCAGGACTCAAAATTTCACACATACATGTCTAAGGGATCGTGAGGAGGCTGTACGTGCATTTAATTATGCCCATCCATTAGCTCAATGACTTTTACTGGACTGCTCACCCCATGAAGTTACATGCTTATTGTCCTCTCCTTTCCCCCAAGCACACTTCCCTTGCTTTCTGGGTTATTCAAAAGTTTTCTTTAAGAGGTATGGGGGAGCTTTTGTTTAGTTGCTGTGGGTTTTTTTGGCTTGAACTAACTGCAAAACTTTTAACAGCTTCAACATTAACTATAAATATATACTGAAAGTGGGAAATTTATTTTGGAAACAAAAAAAAAACAGCCCCCAACCCCTCCAAAAGTGGTAAGACACTGACCTTTACACATACCTAGATATTTGCAAACATGTTTTAACAGCTATAACATCTATTAACAGTCACAAAAGTACTTAGTAATTTTTTTTATTTCAGTGCAAGTTAGGTAACTAAATCTCTTTTTATGGATCTGAGCCCACAACCCTTCAATAGCCATGTCTAAACTCTTACTTAAATCTAACAGGTAATTTCTATTCAGAAAGTTGCTTTCAGATGTCACTTCTAAGGCAAACAGTATATGATTAGATCCATATGTAGGCACACACTGTTGAAGCTATCTTTAGAAGTTTTCCAGAAGCTATCTTTAAGTCTTCCAAAATTTCACACCTTACCCTGTGCTACAATAGAAACAAAAATCAATGCCTAAGAATGCTTTAATTCAGATATCACAGAGGCAATACCTCTTCCCTAAGCCTCCTTGACACCTTTGTATTTACATATCCAAGGCTTACACAGGTATTGCAAATAAACTAATCCCTTTCTTGAGTAGAAGCAGGTGCAGAGACAGACTGTTGTCTTCCTGACCGCTTTCCTTCCCATCCCCATTTCCATCTCTATTCCTATCTTGCTGTGTTGCTTCTGAAGCCAAACCAACACTTACACAACTGAAGTCAAAGCGGCTGGGAAAACAACAGGACATCCTGCAGATTGGCACCTCCATGCCGCTTCCACACATCCAGTTCACAGTATTGCCCCTCTGCACTTTACCTTTCATGACAGACAGTGTGACAAGTCGACAGTTGGAAGAGAAAGGAACATTTACAAAGTGGACTACATCCAATGGCTTTCTTTTCTCATCCCCCAGGACCTTCACAACAAGGGATGAGAGGCTGTGCCGCAGGCCATGGAGTAGAAGGCACAGAACAGGCAATGATGTACTTTGGAGTGTGGGAAGGAGAGGCAGTACAGAGGTTTGAAGTGTATCACTGCAAGATGTACTGAGACCAATCCCTCACCACAGAGGAGCAACAGGACTAAACCAGACAGAACTGTGCTATCTCTGCATCGCACCTACGTGTTGGAACAGCACAACAACGTCACCTGTCTGACGAGATGACAAGAACTTCTCTGAACAATAACCACAAACAATGCTACACTGAGAACTTATATGCAGATGAGGACACTGGTAGTAAATCAAAGTCCTTTTGCAAGTGACCATATTCTGGAATGTAATCCCTAATAAGAGATATGGTCTTTGCTTTTCTAGGGTTACGGTCTCATTTTCTGCTCCTTGCAATATTTTTCACATCAGAATCTTTCCAACTGATCTAAATCAGCCCATATGATTGATTTGATCAAGCCTTTATTTAGCATTTCACTGCATTGACCACGATGGCAGTTCTACTACAGGCATTCTTGCAGATCGATAGCGAATATACCAAATCAAGCATAATATCCAGTCACCACAGTGTCAAGGAATTTTTCTCCATTTATCATTTTTTTGTCTAATATCAATAGTTTTTTCTACAGTGCAACTTCTTTTCCTGTTATGGGACCCACATCAACCCAGACTGATCCTTTTGGGTAAGTACACATCACTCTCAGTGAAATTTTGAATGACGAAGACAGCAGCAAAATCCCTACTCAATTTCAAGGAGTCAAGATTCCACTCTACCAGCATCCTCTATATGTGCAGTTTTACAGACAGCAGAAGGTACCATCTTTCAGAGCAAGATGCTTTTGATCACTGGTCAAGCCAAATCAAACCCAGAAACCTTACTGAATAATTTCAACAAACAGGTTTGATATAACAAGCCTTTCATAGGCTTTGTTAAAGCTACACTGAAGCTATAAAGCACAACAAGCCAGCCCTCTATGCACAGCAGGCTGATGTTCAATGTTCCAACAAAAAGACTGTCAAATTGGATTATTTCTTGCTATTATATAATCATTATTGGTAGACATTATGCAGATGGGAGTCATTCAAAGATGTTTTAAAATACACCCATATGTTTTCTCTCCATTCTAGTCCAAATTGCACCAACACAATTTCAGTGGCTTCAATTCAATCAAGCTGTTCAGGTATGAAAAAGGACCAGAACCACTCCCCTGACATTTTCCCTTGTCATCCTTACCAAGAGAAAAACACCTATATTTTGTGGGAAAGAATTGGTGGGCTTACCAAACCCTGTGCTCACTAAATGCTGTGCTCCATCCAAGGAAACTCAGAATGACAAGATTATCGGCTCTGCTCCTAAATGTAACATTTAGTATCGAGGAACCCTACTGTACCTTCCTGTGATATACATCTCCTGCTTACATCAAAAAAATGACACATTAACACATTACTGTTGCAGATTCTGTTCTTACCAGTTGTACAAACAGGATTCTGAGAGAACAAAAAAAAAAAAAAGAAAAATCTAAACCTGCATAGAAAACAGTATTCCATTGTAAGTTGAAGTTTAGCATGGCCTACAAGATAATCATCTGGATTCTTACTGTCATCCAAAAAGTAAGCAAGATGATCCAATTCATAATTCTGCATTTTGAGTTTAAAGACAGAAAATAAGCTATTCGTACTAATCCTTCAAAAGGAATACTGATGCATTATATATTTTTATAAAAATCTTTTTATTGAACAGAGGAGTTATTTTTACTTCCCTGTACAAAAGATAAAACAAAATCAACAGTACAACATTTATATTGGCAAGGGAAAAAAAAAAAAGATGAAAAGGAATATTAAATATTTAATGTCTGAAGTCAAAAATAAAAGTAATTATTTTAAAAAATACCTTGTTATTGCTCAAGTATAGCTATTACTTTTGTCAGGGAACAATACGCAGGTTACTTCTAGCATCTCTTCAGTTTAAAAAAAATATTTTAAAGGCAGTGTGCAGTGTAGAGCTATTGCTCCTACCTTCCACAATCAGAACACCAAATGCCATGAGTGGTTTACACTGCACTGCCCAACAGGACAATACTAAGTGCTACTTGATTCTGAGCTACCTCTGCCTTCTTAAAGTTGAAATTTCAAGTAATGAGTATACTCAATAATTTAGTATAAATATTTTTTTAGTCAAAACTAGAGGTTTAAAGTATCTAATAGTCTTCTTTTATGAATTTTTACCTTAGTATTAATTTATGTCATGGTTATGTTACTGTTCTAAAAAACAGTGATGTTATAAATATTCACTGTGTAAGGTTTACTTTTTTCCTATGTAAAACTCAATTTCCACTGCACTGCAGAAGTTAAATACAAAAGGAAGATCAAGTGCACAGCTTGATCAGATAAAAATTAGTGCCTATTTGAAAGGAAACAAAATAATACAAAATAAAAATGCCAGCAATAACTTCAATTTCACAGAAATTAGCATGCTCTCCCTTCGGGGATCATGACCTTTAGAAACGCCCCCAGGCAAAACGCGCACCACGGTGGTTTTACTGCCTTCAACTTGGCACGTCGCTACGAGGCCGAGCACGGAGAGCTGGATTTCGGAGCCGGCCACCCCGCTATCCCGACAGCTCGGCTGTCACCGGGCGACCAACGCGGGCTGCCCGGCGCCGGTAGGTCCCCGGGCACGCCAGGTCTGGGATGCGCCG